AATATGACAAATCTATAAGATAATTATTATAGTTTGCCAATCTAAGCAAATAATATAACTTATAATCTAGTAGTAGATACTGGAATTGCAGAAACATGGATATTTGGTAAGAATTCCAATAGAAAAAAATATTATGAATGTTAAAAGTGTATACCTAAGAATAAAGAAATATAGGAGTATGCATAAGGTAAAATTTCAGGAATTGAATATAATCAAAAAATTGAAATAATGAATTAATCTCTATATTTGAATATAATTGAGACAACAAAAGTGGAACATTTCAAATTAATAATTGCTGATGGTGCTATTGGATTTAGTAAATTATAATTGTCAAAAGAAAACAACTTATTGAAGAATTTGTATGATTTAAAAGTAATTGATGAGATTTAATTTGGGCTTTTATTAAATGAATAAAATTGTTAATCTACATCTATTCTAATACTTGGGAAACCAATAAAAAATTACTATATCAATGAATTATATTATATAAAAATACTTGATTCTTCTTTATGGATGATATAAGGTAAATCAGTAGAAATAGTTGGCAAAAATAATAAATTAGAATTAGAATCATCTTCATAAATTATTGTATTTGATAGTGGATTATCCAAAATTTTGATATCAAAATAAAAATTTAATAAACTTATTGATATATTAAATGAGAATTACAATTTGAATTGTTAATAGGAAACATCATATCAAATAAATTAAATTGTATGTTCTTATAATGAATAATAATATCCTGAAGTGAATATTAATATTGATACTAATTTTAGTTTAACACTCTTACCTTAAGATTATATTGAATATTGTTATTACAATTACTTTTTATAACATAAGTGTTTATTAAATTTTTAATAAATTGATAATACAGATGTACTTGTTTTAGGTATTGTTTTTTTATAGAAATATTATATACATTATGATATTACTATGTTGTAAATTGGAATTGCATAATCTATTTATTATTGTAAGATATAATATAATTTTAGAAAGACATAATCAAATTAAATACAATTCTAATAATAGTATGTTATACTTTTCACTCATTTTAGTATTAGCATTATTAATAGCAATTTACATTTTATTAAGAATGTTTTTAAAAAAATCAATACATTTATACTTATCTGTATTAGAGAAATCATCTTCAAGATCATAAGAACAAGAAATGGAGGCAATCACATTAAAAACTCAATCAAACAATTAACCACCTTTATCATCATGAAAATGAATTTTATATTTTGGTTTAATTATGTAATAATAAATATAAAATTATCAAAAGAAAAAAAATAATGTAATTCCTTCATATTTATAATTATTATTGTCTAATAATCTATATATATTTTACAAATTCTATTAGATATAGATTTTTCTTATAATAGTACAGTCTTTATAATTTTCCATTAAAAATATGCCTGTATAAAATAACATGATATCTATCTTGTATAAATATTAAAATTTTCAAAATAAAAATGCAAACAGAAGAAAAACACAGCAAATGTGGTGAATATGTAATAATTGAAAAATTAGGACACGGATATCATGCAAAGTATATCTCTATTTATATATAAACATATTAGAGTCAAATTAGCTGAGAAAGATGGAAAAAAAGTGGCTATTAAATTGTTCAAGACTCAACATAATACTGCTAAAAACATCAAAGCTCTTGTTAATGAAATCAAAATTCTCAAATAATTAAATCATCCTAATGTAATCAACCTTATTTAGTTTAGTGATGCTCTTCCATATAAAGTAATCATACATTAAATATTTAAATAGAAAAAAAATGGAACAATTATACCACGTGTATGCATAATATTGGAATTAGCTTAAAAAGGAGAACTTTTCTAATATGTAGCATCTTCAGGAAGATTTGCTCCTGAAATTACAAGATATTATTTTAAATAATTATTGTCTGCTATGATTTATATGACAAGTAAAGGGATTTGTCATAGAGATTTGAAATTAGAGAATATTTTATTGGATGAAAATTTCAATCTTAAAGTTGCTGATTTTGGATTTGCTAAAGTAATGGAAACACCAAAGTAAAAGACAAATCTTGGAACTCCAGGTATTATCTCTTAACATAATTATAGGTTATACTGCACCAGAAATAACTTAAAATGGTGAATATAATGGAACTTAAGCAGATATATTTTCAGCTGGTGTAATACTATTTATTCTACATGCTGGATCACCACCATTTTCAATAGCTTCTGAAACAGATCCTATCTTTAAATTAATAATTCACAATAAAAGAGATGAATTTTGGTATTGCCATACAAAAAACAGGTCTGATATTTTCCCATAAGATTTCAAGTAGATTTTAAATTAATGATTATTTATTAGGAATCTAATTGATGGTATGTTGGCTCCAAATCCTGATGAAAGATTTACTTTAGATTAATGTTTGTAACATCCATGGACAAATGGAGCAGTTGCTACACCTGAATAAATTAAAATTGAATTCAAAAAAAGATATGCAAGAATATAAGCTGAAAGCTAAGCTTCCTAAATGAAATTAAAAGCATAAAAGTAGAATATACTAAGTATTTTCATCTTAATTTTCAAAAGGAAAACCTATTGGTAAATTCAGAAGTATTATTGGAGAAACAGAATAAGAAGATTTTACAGAAACTATTGAAAAATAAAAATTGAATTTAGAAAACAGATTTTTAAACAAAGGTTAAGTTACAGGATTACCAAATGAAATCTTACTTTATTTAGATCCAAATTTTATATTGTGTTATTTGTTAAAATATTGTACTAAATTTAATTCAAAAGTGAAGAAAATTCATACCACAAAATATAAAGTATATTAATTATTTTTATTTTAGATTAATTTTGTAACTAATGAAGAAATAGATGAAACTATTGAATATTCAATCGAATTTTTAGATTGTGAAAATGAATTGATTAAAGTTAATATAACCAAAAATTCAGGAGATTATTTTTAATTCAATCAAATCTATAATAGAATAAAAAATATTCTACAAGAAAACTACAAAGAATACTTGAAAGAAGAAATTTAGTAAGAATGATAAACATATATCATGTGTAAAGCATTTATAAATATATATTATTATAATTAAAATTTTCATAATCTAAAATTATTGACACTCTATTTTAATTTTAACCAATATATAAATATAATAATATCATGAATATTCACTTTTGATTATAAATAATCAATTACATATATTATTTAAACTATTATAAATATTGTAAATTAAATTAATCTAGATAAAATCTTATATAAATCTTTTTAGTTAATTAATTTATGTTTATTAATTGATATTTAATCTATTAAAAAACTAGTTATCATTTGTATCTTATTTTAATTTATTTATTCTTTTATAAAAATAAATTATTTATATCATCATTAATTTAAAATAGCAAAAGTGGGTGTTTGATTTTTGTACATAATAAATTACTTCTTATCTAAAATTCATTTTCTAATTCAATTTTTTTTGTTGTTAATAATTTCTAAGATATCAATATTTATGTAGTTAATTAGTATTTATATATATTTATTAATTGATAAAATATTTGATTGGTTGAATTCATTTTAAAAATTGATAATGTCTTAATATTTTCATTTTACTCTTTATTTGTTATAGATAACTATTAAGATTTATCATAAAGATTATATCTAAAAGTACAATAAAGAAGTAGTGGAAGTATGATAAAATAAAATTTCTGTTGAAACAAATTTAATTAACTTATGATGTATGAAGAATATGATGATTTTCCTTTGTGCTTTGTTAAAGCCATTCGTATATATTTGAATGGAGATTCTTCAAAGTACACAGATTTGAAGATTGCTTAGAATACAACATGGAATGACATTTAAACACAACTAGATTAGAAATTTGGGAAATTTAAGGAAATGAGATTGTTTACATAATAAGGTGTAGAGATATTTGATGATGATGTTAAGTTTTTTAAGGATGGATAATCTTTCTATGCATCTCGAGGAGGTATTAATAAGTATTTGAATTTCAGATGAATTTGATCCTTATTCACCATTCTCATAATATGAAACAATCAAATAATTGGGAGAAGGAGGTTTTGGATGTGTGACTTTAGCTAAACATAGGATTACAGGTGAATTAGTTGCAATAAAGATAATAAAAATGATAGGAAATGCATAAGACATAGAACTAAATTTTAGAGAAGCAGAAGTTTTACGTTCTTTAAGTCATAAAAATATAGTAAAAGTTTATAATTCATATGCATTAAAAAATACTTAAATGGCTGTAATAATGGAATATTTAGAAGGTGGTGAATTGAGTGATAGATTAAAATAGAAAGGAGGAAGATTTTCAGAAGAAGAAGCATGCAAATATTTTAGATAAATTGTTTAAGCAATTTCATATTGTCATTAAAAAAATATAGTTCATAGAGATTTAAAATTAGAGAATTTATTATTCAGCTCAGCAGATTCAGATGAATTAAAAGCAATAGATTTTGGTATAGCTGGAATTCAATGTCCTACAAATACAGATCATGTAAATATTGGAAGTTTGCATTATATGGCACCTGAAATTCTGGCAGGTAAAGTAACACGTGTTAGTACATCAGTAGACATATGGGCTATGGGTATAATACTGTATAAGATGTTGTTTGGAAATGTTCCATTCAATGGAAAAACACAATAAGATATAATTAATAACATAATAAATAAGGAATTAATATTCCCAATAAATAATTTAAGTGAGGAGGTTATCAACTTGTTAAATTAAATGTTAGAAAAGAATAATGAATAACGATTTCGTATTACAGATGTTGAATATCATCCTTGGGTTAATAGTGATTAAAGAACTCCTTAACAGAAATAAATGTTTCTATAAATACCATCAGAAGGTAATATTCGTAAAGCTAGACCATCTGCTAGTCCTAGAGCAAGAAGTAAATCGCCAAATCCTTCAGGCATTCTTAAACATCCTAATATATTCAAATTATGATTATTCACAATTAATAAATAAATATTAAATATTATGTTAAAATCAATAACAAGAAGAAGAAAAAAATATATTTTCTTAGATTACTTGATTGTTTTGTTTACATCACTCTATTTAAGAATCAGGACTATTGATATGGATTTTTACAGTTCTATTTAACCTAATTATTTGTGGCTTCTAACCATTCTATTTGGATTAATGTTTGCAAAAATAGGTATTTATAAATTAATGGATGAAAGGTAGGGTATGGTGTATTTTTATATGTGTAAATTTGAATCTACTCAGTATCTATTACTTTAATAATACAAATAATATAGTCTTTGCAACAAGCATTTATAAATTGACTTATGACAGTTTGATTCTATTAGTCATATGTCATAGTTTCAATATATTTAGAGATAAAGGATTTTAAGTATTGACTTATTGCTATGCTTTTGGGAAGTATTAATTTATATTTATAAGAGTTACTGTGAAATAGCTCAGATATTTATTAATTTAAAATATTTCAAATACTTCCTATTCATACTTATTATATCTCTATCATTTATACGTTTAAGATGCAGATAATTATAATAACCTAATTATTTTATTGTGATCAAACGTCTATGCACTATTCGTATGGCTATCATACAAATTATAATACTTTTGTATGTTTTATTAACATCAATTAACATTTATAAATTTATAGACACTTTTACCTCTTCTTTGACTAGATACATCATCATATTTATATACCCAATGTATCTATTGCCAATACTTCATAAATTTTAATACATCAATGAAGCAATTCTAGTAGTTAATGTAGTTGTCAGTGCTTTATTAATATTTGATTAATTGATGGTGTTTTTTTTAGCATCCTTATTTATACCTCTAATATATATAGCCTAGTTTGGCTTATTCATTTATGTATTTGATGAAATTGATCCAATAATATCAAGGACATATAAACATTTAAATTATGATCCTATTATTCTAATTCATTATATCATTTTGAAATATTCTAATTCTAATTACGAATCATATGCATAACACAAAAACATAATTTATTTTTTATGTACCATTGTTGTTATATTTATATTTATCAAAAATAAAAATATATGCAAAAAATTCACAAATAAACAGAATTATTACAAAAATACCTATGATTAATTTGAAAGTGCAAGAAATGATGATACTGTTTTGTGAATATTTTTATTTTATTTATATTTATTAAATTAATATAAATGAAATTAATAAAGAAAATTAAATCGTCTTGGGAAAAAAAAAACTCAAAAAAGCTGTTTTTATTCTTATGAATAATCAAAAAATGATTAAATTCACTAATTTTATAATTATTGATATTCAAAGGAAATGAATAGATATAAATTTAATTAAATCAATTAACATTAGATAATCATCATGTAATATATAAACTAATATTATTACCATTAAATTAATGTTTAATCAACTTAATAATAATATATGTGTAAAAAAGAATAGTTAGAGTGAGAAAATAATTTAAAATGGAGGTCAGTCCTTTTCTTAAGAATTTCAAAGAATTTTAATAATCAAAATTTTTAACCTTCTATTAAAATTGCAATGCTTCTATAAATAAAAAATGATTTATTGTAAATGAATTATAGAAGGGTGTATGACATATTTATGAGAAACAGATTGATTTGGATTTAAATTATGTTAATATCAATTTACTGGGTTTGAGCTATGAATTTTTAACCATATTTAAATAATACAGCTAGAATACTGGATAAGCTGAATTACAATATGTTCTACATTCATAGGCGTTATTATGATAGGTTATAACTCAAAGTAATAGATGGATCAAGTTTTTAGATTAGTTTTTTTACCCAATGTAAGTAAGATGAAAATAATGCATTTCTTGTTTATCTAATTAAATAAAAAGAACAGCAAATCAAAATTCACATTAATAATACTTGGATATTGGTTAAAATTATGAGGAAAATAAATAAATTCAAAGAGATGATTAATTTGAGAGTTAATTTATTTATAGAATGATCTAAAATTTTATGTTTAAATACTATTTTTGTTAGCAATTAAAGATTTAATTAAATCTTAAATATGTTTTTGCCAATATTTCAATCTTCTTTCTTATAGCTAACAAGGACTGAATCAAATGTCATTGTGAAAGTCTTCTCAGATAAAATGATAATAGAGGGATTCGAAGGATTTGAAGGTAGACAAGAAAAAGTCTTTGAGTATAATGAGACCAAATATTGTGTTGAGTGGGATTATGACATGTATGAATTATTGATCATAAATTAGAAGACAAAATAATTAAATAAAGGGTTTCACACTATGTCATTCTGGATAAAGACTCTATTAATTTGAAGGTGAAGTTTAAAAACTTACTGGACTGAGGAGTGTATTAAAAGGGAAAATAGGTTTTTTCAATTGGGAAAAAGAGCTTTCTTTTAACAAATGGATAAAGAAAACATAGCATTGTGAAGTAATAATATTAAATAAACTGAACAGATTTTTCAAGTGTTACGGGGTGGAAATTTAAAAGTGATCAAAGTTCTTTAAGATAATAATGTAAAACGAATACATATTCTAAAATTAGTCTAATGTAGAGTTATAAGTGAATCAAATGTTAAATCAAAGACCCCATGTCAATCTACTTCATTCAGATGAGTTCTACAAGGATGAGGCTTAAATCTATTTATTGATGGACTTTCATGAGTAATCATTAAGTGATATATAAAATGAGTACAGTAAAAAAAAAGTACCTATAAATGTTATTAGACCTATCCTATTATAATTATTAGAAGGTAAAAACATATAAATATAAATTTTAGGAGTCAATCATTTGCATTCTCAAAAAATAATTCATAGGGATTTAAAATATGATAATGTTTTATTAACTCAAAATAGAACAGTGAAGATCATTGATTTCGGTTTATCACAAATAGGTGATGCTACAAATATTCGATCTGGAACTGCAGGTTATATTGCACCTGAAGTTTTTCAAAATTAAACAATAACTTCTAAAAGTGACATCTTCAGCATTGGTGTCATTTTTCACAAGTTATTAACTGGAAAGGGAATATATAATAATCTTGATGAAAATATGGGTGGTAGAATGAGAATTAGCTCTCACATAAAAGATAAGAATGCCAAAGATCTATTATTGTCTATGTTGCATTAGGATCCAAAATTAAGATTCAGTGCTGAGGATTGTATGGCCCATCCTTTCTTTACAGGTGAATACGATTAACCTTCTTAAAAGTATTATTCATATTAAATTTTAGGATATGCCTCAGTAATTATTTAAGTCCTTATTGCTAATATAAATTTTAACCCATATCTACTTAAATGATTAGCTTATCTTTATGAATATATTCATTATTAGAATACAAATATATATAAATATTTAATTAGATCTCAATAATTTATTTATTCATAATTACAATATATATAATAAAGTTTCATTTAATACTAATCTTAAAAATATTTAAAATAATGAATTACACAGACATTTTATCATCTAAATTTGAACCAGAAACAACAGGTACAACTATCATGGCTGTCATTTATGATGGTGGGTTAATCATAGGAGCAGATAGTCGTACATCATCTGGGTATTCATCAATAAATAATTCAAAGTTAATTTGTTGCAGATAGATGTGCTGATAAAATTGATTATGTTCATGATAGAATATTTTGTTTAAGAAGTGGCTCTGCTGCAGACACATAAACAATTGCTAAATATGTTAGATATTATATAGATGCACATGCATAAGAATTAGGTAGATTACCTGCTGTTGCGACTGCTGCAAATCTCTTCAGAAATTTCTTATATGAATACAAAGAGTATATATAATTTATAAATATATTAAGTTCATTATCAGCTGCAATAATAGTAGCTGGATGGGATCCATACAAAGGTCCATAAATATTCACATTACCTTTAGGAGGATCAGTCATTGAATAGAAATGGAGTATAGGTGGATCTGGTAGTACATTTATTTGGGGATTCTGTGATTCTAATTACAAAGTATATTGAATCAAATTATGTGTTAAGGAAAATATGACACTTTAAGAAGCAAGAGCATTTGTTTTACATGCAGTAGCACATGCTATGTATAGAGATGGATCATCTGGTGGAATAATTAGATTACTTAATGTAACTAAAGATAAAATAGAGAGAGAATTTATTGATTATAAAGATGTCCCAGTTAAATGAGTTTACATTCATATAAATATTATATTCCAGTATTTTCAAATTTAATGAATAAATCTTGTCTCAGAAATTCAGCAAGTCCAAGAAAGCCAAATGTGAGCTTTTCTATTGAAGTCTAAGAATCTAGAAGTTAAAAGAAGATAAGGACTCATAGTAATATAAGTAGTGAAAGGGATTTGTAGAATTTGACAAGGAACAAATGGAGATATCTTATTATTTAATAGTAAAGAGATCTTCGATATAATTAAGTAAAGATAACAGAGAAATAATAATGTTGCATTGTCTTTTGATTTAAGAATATATATTTTGTATTAGTTTAATACATATTTAGATTACATATATCAGCTAATAATATAAAATTAAAAATCAAAAAGAGTAGTTCTTATTAGATGTGTATTTTTCTTCTTAATCTGAATCTGCATCATCATATTCAACTAAATGATCTTCCATAAACTCTACCATTTCTTATAACTTCTGATTTTTATAATCAAGCAATTTACGTACTAATCCAATAAGCTAAATAAGTTAATAATAATAGATATAAATTACTTGCTCATATTTTATGAATTACCTATTTAAATAAACAGGATGTTCATAAATTATTTAATTTACAATGTCTTCTGGATTAGTCAAAAATATTAAATTATTCAATGAAATCTGATAAAGATGTTTTTTCTTCTCTTTTTAATGTTATTTATAAACTAATCCTATAATAGGTGGATCAAATTTTAAAACCCATTTAATTGGTATTACTCTAATGTCAAAAGGTTAAACTTAATTCATAATATAATTATAATAATCATTTAATGTGACTTCTATAAAAAGCTGTATGCGATAATATGTCATTCTCTAATGATTTCAATCCAGTTCTCATCTCTTGAAATCCTGGTCGTGCTTCTATATCTTATTAACACATTTATAACAATAAATTCTGTAATATTGTAGAATATCCTCTATTTGGTAAAAATTAAATGGCACTAATTATTTGTTAATAATTCAAAGTCTTTGTTTACCAATCATAATATTATTAAGTTGCTAATATTCATATAAATCATATAAACATACGAAATTATGAAGCTAATTCCAATATAATCAATCCCAAACTAAATACATCTGTCTTATTTAATGTTCCAATATCTAATTTCATATAAGAATTCTCTTTATCTCCTTATTATAATAAATTCAATAATTCAGGTGAAAAAGCATGAAATTCATTATTATATAATGATTTTTAAAATGGATTCATTGCTCCTGGAATTAGATCATGTTCCTTATTGTAAATATTAATTTAATACTATTAATTTAACAGATCCATCAAGATCTAAATAAATATGTTAAATATTTAAATCTCCATGATATTTACCTTATTCTTCTAAATAAGCACAACATTAAATTATTTAATAAATTATTAACCAGAGTCTAGATTCATTGAAAATCAATTTTTAATTTAAACTATTAATATCATATAAATAATACTTGTATTCATGTTCTGTTTATAATGTATTTAGAAAATATTCACCTAATATTACAACATGACTAGCATCTGAACACATTACTGATTCTTTTCCCATTACATAAAATATTCTTATAAGATGTTCATTCATTAATGTCTTTCGTTATTAGAAATGATTTTTTAATTGTTGCAATTATTAATCTGATTAACATAATCGCTTAAATTGAAATACTTTATGATTTTTATTTTCAATTGCATCAAAAATCTTAATATTACCTAATTGGAAATGATTAATCTCTTAATAAAAACTAAAATTCTTCATCACTTAATCATAATCCATATCTTCTTTTCCATTTTAAGAATTTCCCATATTAAATAAATTATAATTATTTTTTATATATCATAATTATTTCATAAGAGTTTAAATCGAGTTGGCGAATTATTATTCATCTAAATTAATTATTAAAAATTATGAAATAATAAATAAATGTGATTTAAAATGTTACTTTCAAACTTATGTCTAATCCACATTTGATTGAAGATTATTACATAATTCTAAAAATAAAGGATCCACAATTACATCAAAACTCAGATGAAATTGAAATCAAGTAATAAATGTAGTATGATAATAAAAACTAAATTTATTAAACAACTATTAAAGTTTAAACTAAAATCAGATATCAATATCAATATTCTAAAAAGATTAATGATAACTTTATATATGAAGTTGGTTTTAGAGGATTTTAATATAGCTCAGTTGATCCTTTATTAATAGATTAATGGAATAAATAATGGTATCAATACATTTTTACATATGGTGGTTATAATCAAAATATTTTTAATGGTTATTAGGCTGTTATAAGAGATTATGATTCCCCCATTATAGAGAAATATTATTTGAAAAAAATCATAATTATATGCATTGCAAAGAAATAATTGATATGAATATAAAAAAAAATAATAGATAATTGTGCTTTAATTAAATAAATTAAGATGGAAAAAGACTAGATTCATATGAATATATATAAATTATGGATATTAGTAAAGTGAATGAATAGCAGAAATTTATTTCCAATCTAGCTTTAATAGAATTTAAAGAAATAGACTCAAAAACAAAATAAAGAATTGAAACATATTCAGGAATTTATAATGAAATGGTTATTATGAAATAATAATTAAAAGATTCTAATTAATCAAAAGACTTAAAATAAAATATACAAGAAATAATAAATCATTATGATATAAAAATCGCAGAAATAAATTAGAAACATTTATTAGATTTAATGAAAAAGGATTAAGATAATAAATAGGCCATTATTAATTTAGAATAAAAATAAAAAGATTAAATGGAATAACTTAGAGAAAATCATCTTAAATAAAATATTAGTTTACAAAAAGAGTTTGATGATTTTAAAAATTATTCAGAAAAGGTTATTCAAAAATATATAAATTAAAATGAAAAAGCAAATTAAAAAATTTTAGATTTAGAATTATCAAAAGTGAATTTCTAATCTGAAGAAATTACAATTCAAGTTGAAGATTTCAATTAATTATCAAAAAATGAATAAGATAATCTTAAATAACTTCAAGAAAATTTGAAAATCTATGAGTTTAAAATTTAGGAAATTAAACAAGAAAATGATAATTGTTAAGAAAAATTAGAAAAAAACAACTTAAATTAAAGGGATCTATGAATGAATCGAAAAAATGTTAATAATTATTAGAAAAGTGGGAAAAGGACTCTCTTATACTTAAGGAAGTAAATCAAATAGGAAAAGATTAATTTGAAAAAAAATCTATCATTTATAAACTAAATTAAAAGAAATCTAAGTAAAATTGAATAAGAAGGGAGAAGAGTTAAAAAAATTTATGGATGCCTTAGAGGAATTAGAAAATAAATATAAAATAGAAAAATAGAATAATATACGATAACAAGTAGAATTTTAAAAAGAAACTAAAAAATTAAAAGATGAATATAATAAAGAAATGAATGAATAAATAATCTACTATAATTCTATTTTAGAGTAATAAAAATAAACCATTTAATAATTAAAGATTAATAAAGCAAATTAAGAAGAGAAAATAAATTTAAATAAAAATATAGATTAAGAATCAAAAAAAATTTATGAAAAATTAAGAAATGAATAGAATTCTAAAAATCTCAGATAATAATCAATTAAAAATTCTAATTAATAATTTAATTAAATAATTTAAAACATCTATAATCTTTTAACATTATAATAGGGAGATATAATTTAGAATCTTAAAGAATAAGGACTTTAAATTATTTAAGATCTATAAACAAAATATATTAATTAACATGCTTTAGTAGATTTAAATAATGAAAACTTTTTAATGTAAATTTGTAAATTAATAGTAATATTAAGTTATAGTATAAATAAAGGTTAATAAGAAAGTAAACATATTGAAGATTTAAAATAACTTGAAAATCAACTTTATGAAAATGTTAAGATAATAATGATAAAAAAGAAAAATAATAAGATCTTATCAAATAAAATTATAAAGAGATTATTTTCTATAACGGTCCTGATAGTATTTACTTTAATTTATTAATTTATGATCCACATTCCAAAATCTGTTTGAAATTATTAAAAATATATTATTTAGATATATATAAGTTATAAAAAATTAAAGTCATCTGATAAACTGTTCTTAAATTATTTAATTATAATAACTTAAACAACTTTATACAGAAGATTCAATTTTATTATAAATTTTTTAGGAGGGTCCTAAATAAAAATTTTATTAATATTTGATATCTTATAAATTAATCATCATAAGGATTCTAAGCCTATGGTTATAACATTTGTATTGATAAGACTTAAGGTTCTTTGTCTGTAATGTTCAAAAGTTTAATTAATTCCATCTTAGTTTTATAATAATATTGTTAATTCATCATTTTTTCTTTCTAAAATACTGTTTAATTTTAACACAATATCTAATATTTTTTCAAGAGTTTAACAGTTATTATTAATTAAGTCAATCTAATTTTAATCTTATTCTAACATGTCTTCTACTTAATATGCAAAATCTTTGATTTCTAATAATTTTTTTTAAAATTCATTCATTAATGATAACAAACCTTTCATAGTTGATTAGTCTATATTTTCTTTATATTTGTGAATTTAATCAATTATTTATGTATGGATACTAATTAAATCTTCCTTTAAATCATTAAATGAATTGTTTGTAATAATATTAATTCCATCTGCAGCAAAATTTATGGCAGTTTCAAAATTTATAAGCATTAAATATTTAATATTACGTATTTCACTATCTAAATTACATGATAATTTTCTTTAGAATCTTTCTTGATGAATTTAATAAGGACTTAAAATTTCTGTAAATATATTGTCTAAAATCTCTTAAGAACATTATAAAAATAATTATTGTTATTATTATAATTTTTATAATTATTCTGCTTTTTATTTTTCCAATAATATTTAATTTTCATTCTAATATTATTTAATTGATTATTGATAATCATTAACAATTGAATTTATTTATTAAGATTTTTCTTCTTTAAACTTTTCAAATTCATCATCATCTAATTTTTTTTATTATTCCAATTATTTAAATTATTCCATTTGATATTCATATTTTTATAATAATTCTTAATATTATTCTTTATATGTTTGAAGTTCTTTATATTTCTTTTTTACTATTTCTAATAATTTTTAAAGTTTTTGATTATGTTCAGCTTATTATTAAGTAGTTTATTCTAAAATTTAATTTTTTTGAATATAATCTTAAAGTTCTTTTTTTGTATTTTCCAAATTTTGAATACAAATATCTTATTATTCAATATAATTATTGATCTTTGACATAAATGCTGATTTTAATCTATCATTCTTTACAATCTCTAATTCAATTTCTTAATTCTTTATAATCAATTCATGTTATTTTTATTCATATTATTTCAGTTTTTCTTTTAAACTATTCATCTAAGCAATCTCTTCTTTTGATGCTTTTTAATCAATATCACATAATGATATAACAACTTATTAATTAAATTAATGATCATTATCAACATTATTAGTGTTATTGTTTTTAAGTTAAATCAATTGAAGTTCTTAGATTTAAATTTTATTTTATGATTCTTAAAGTTTATCTATATAATCATTTATTTTTTTAGAAGCATTCTTCTAAAATTAATTGAAATCCTCTTAAATTAATAAATATTATTGATTTTAAATAATTGCTTATTCTGATAGATATTTGATTTTTTTATCAAAATCTTCGGTTAAATATTTTATCTCATTATAATGAATGTTTGAAAGATTATATTTTTCTGACAAATTTTGATTAATAATATTTTCAATCTCTTTTTTATGACTTTTTTTTTATTTTTGATTTAAGGTTAATTAATCAATCAAATCTTATTCTTTTATTTTTAGATTATTACTTAATTCTCTTTTTTCTTATTCTAATTCTAATACTTTTTTATTTGCTTCTTCAACTTATTATTTTAATATTTTAATTTAATCCATGTAATTCCATTCTTAGTTTGTCTCAAAAATCTATAAATAATTTTTTATTTCTTCTGCCTTTTACTTTTAAAATAATTAAAGATCAAATTCAACATAAAAACTATTCATTTTAAATTTATTGATATTCTATATATGAATTTAACAACTGAGATCCTCTGTTTAATCTTTTTAAGATCTTAATGAAAATTATCTAATCTATTAAGTCATATCATTATCTATTAATTCATAATAATCTTTTGCTGGAAATAAAATGGCTGACTTTTTTAATTCAAAGTATTCTTCATTTTGACAATTCTTTATTGATAATTGATATGCTTAAAATATTTCATCAGTTTTTGGACGAATTCTGTATAAACACCAAAATTTGTTCCATTAATCTATTAACATCTTCTCAGTCTCAGCAAATTAAAAATATCTGCATTATAGCTCTATATCTTTTTATTATGTTCTATTATCTAAAGCTTCATAGTAATATTTATAGATGCAGTTTTCTTTAAGAGATAGTTCTATTGTATATAATTCAATTTCCTTCTTCATTTCCTAGATTGTAAAAACCTCTTCATTTAATGTTTTGTTGATCAATAACAAATAAATAGTTGAATTATCATTCTCTTTAAAAATTAGTGAAAATTTCACATTTCTACACTTATCAATTTTCCCCCCAAAAGAGAGTCGACCTCTTGGTTCAGAATCAAGCATTAAAAATAATAATGATAATCAAATAACTCAACCAATTATAATTCTATTACTCTATTACTATTAAATTATATGTATAATATCAATAAAATATAGAATAAATCTCTATTTATTCTAATTACTCTCTAGATATTGATCCTAATGGGTTTTATGTATTTTTAATTTCTATTTTTTAAATCAATTGAATAATTAATAAAATATCCATTTAATTTCAAAACAAGTATTAACTTACCTTAAAATATAATATTAGTTTTGTAAAGAACTTCTTATTTAGAGAAGAATACTGAAAAATAATACTTATTAAAAAGCTAGATTAATGGCTAGACTCAAATTAATAGAAAAAAATAAATTTAATACTCTTTCTTCTATAAATATATTTATCAATATGTTGTTATTCCTGACTCAAACATTAGTGATTAATCTAAAGGATAAAGTGATGCTTGTTTTTCAAAACCATTAATTTCAGACAGTAAACATTCTAATTATACTAAGTTAATATATTACCTTTGAATTATAAACCTCTGGCCATTGCATTTCTATAATGTTCTAAGTAATCTCTAATCTTTTACATCTTATTTTCAACATGGTCTAATTATTATATCATATGTATTATGTACCTTTTTATTGTTAAAGAGTAGAATTTTTTATGTTTGACTTTTATAATTCTATTGTTTCTATTTTCTCTTTATTGCTTAATATTTCTTATTCAATTTATTATTTTTATTTCCTAATTAAAATTTAAAATAATACTTCATATCTTCTTCATATTATTTTTACTTAATCTCTTCTCTTCTTTTATACTCTTCGTCTAATCTCTTTTTCTCTTTTTCAAATTCATCTTTTAATTAAAGATTTTTTTATTATTCTTATTCAAATTTCTAGGTAATTTCATTTAAAGAAGCCTTATAATTTTATAATTCTTTTTCTTGTTTTTCAAAATTTTCTTTCATTTTTTAAAGTTATTACTAATACTTTTATGACATTTCCTTGGCCTTATCTTCTAATTCAGATTTTTCTTTGAGTTATATTTACAATTATTTAATTTATTCTTAACATTCTTTTAATCTCTTTTCACAAATTTCACTTTTTTCTTTTAATTTATTTAATCCATGTTCCTTTTTTTCTAATTTAGATTCCAATTATTGATTTGATTATTGTGTTTCAGAAAGTTAAGATTTAGTAGTCAAAAACATTTTTTGTTCACTTTCCATATCTTATACTGCTTGTTCATAATTTTTAACAGTATTTTAAAGCTTTTCCAAAGTTTCTTTGTCGACATTGGCATTTTATAAATCTTTAATGCAATCTTTACATTCTGATAATGATTATGTTGATTATTTCATTTATATTTTTTCAATCTCTGCATTTGTCAATTACTCTTATAATGTTGAGTTTTCTTTCATAAGTTTTTCAATATTCCTTTCAAATGACCTCTTAATCTATTCCATATCAACATCATGTTATTATTTTTGATCTTTAAATCTCTATGTATTTTCATTTTAAATTTGTGTCATTCTATTCTTTAATTCTTATTGGCTATTTATTCTTTCTTTACTGAGTTATTATTCAGTACTACTCTATAGATCAACAAGGTCTTTCTTTAATTTTGTAATTTCTTGATTGTGTTGTTCTAATAGTTATTATTTTAGTGCCTCTAATTCTTATTATTTAAGTGCCTCTAATTCTTTTAGTTGTTTTTATAATTCTTATATTTGCCCATCTTTCGATTAACTTAGAGCATCAAATTACTCTTGTGTTAATTATATAATGTTTTTTTGAGTCTTTGCAAGCTCTTCTTTAGCTTTATTCTTTTCGGTGTTTACAAGAGACTTAACTTAGTTGATTTTTTCCTTTAATGTTTTATTGAAATTTTCTTAATCTTATCCATATTGCTTTTGGATTTTCTCATGCTCTTTTTGTATGTTTTGTAAAATTTTTTCACATTCTTCTTTATATTTAGTCACTTCTTAGGTGACCTGCTTTTATACTTCTTCCTCTCTAGCCTTACACTTTTTTGTGATCAGTTCTTCGATTTCCTTTATATCTATTTCTTCACCTTGTTGCATTTAAAGAAATAATTTTTAATTTAATTAATGAATTTTTAATAAAGTCACAATCCCTTTAAATCATCTAATTCTATTATTAAATAATAAATCTTTTTAGAATTAATTATACAAAAAATATTGAATTTTTAAGTTATAGATCTCAAACCCTTAATCTAAGCCTTAATTATTTAACATTTAGATCTATGTTATTAAATTACATTAATATAATCAATCTTCTACAAAATTTATAGATTTTATATATACAAACTTTATTATAGGAAATCATTTGCTTATCTTTAATTTCTTATTTAATTATCAATTATTATTACTTAATTACTCATATTTAAAGACTAGACAATCAGTCAATTAAGATTCCTGATTGATTCTTATTTTTATTTAGTAAATCAATTTATTCATTATTTTTCAAAAGTTATAATTATGTTTTAGATTTGTGAATATAAATAATTATTGATATTAATACTTTGTTTTCTCCCTATCAGTATAGAATTAGACTGATTAGTTTTATTCAGGTATTCTTTTTTTTTAAAGTTTCATTCGAAGATTTTTAGTACATTTATAATTTTTTACTTTTCTTGCTTTCTTCTCTAGTCTATTGAATTTATTGAATTAAGATATTTTATGATATTCAATATACAAAGTTATTAATTAGGTGCTTCTTCAACTTAATCTTCTAATTTGCTTATTTTTCTACAAGTTATTTCTACAATTGTAAAATTTTCCTCTTTACAGTCATTTAATTTCATTTCGTCCTTTTAATTTTAAAACTAATAATACCATCATTTGTACACAGCCTTTTCTTTTAATTGATCTAATATATTTTATTCTTCTTATTATGTATGTACTAGGTTTTGATTTAAATCCTCTTTACTCATTACAGAGATTAATAATTATCTAATTATTATTTGAAGATAAATTGTATTGCATTTTTTATTAGTATTTCTATAAAAATAAATCTTTTTTATTAATAATTATATATTCATATATTATTATTATTATTTAAGTTTAATACTTTAATTATATACAAAGAAAGTTAACCTAAAAACAATCAAGAAAATAAGTATAATCTAAAACTTGATATTAAAAATATTTAAATTAAAGTAGATCAAATTAATTAATTCATTAGATAAGTAAAATACATTAATAATGAATTGTAAATATTTACTTAAAGAATCTTTTAATCCTTCATTCAAATTATAATTTATATAATTTTAAATAAAAAATATGCTCATTATTATGTTTCATTAACATTTCTATTAGTATTCTTTTAAAAAATTACTGTTCCCACTTGGCAATAGTTCTAAATTTAATATTTTAATTTATTACAATTTATTTTTAAAGTTAAGATTAATTCTTCATTTGAATTAACCAATTACTAATTAGTCATCATCACTTTCTTTTTAATATCTTCTAATTATGTTTTAATATTGTCATTTATGTATATAAAATCTGAATTTTTTCTCTATTTTAATTGTTATTCTTTGTCTTTCTTTTCCTATTCTTCATATCTTAATTAATTTTTAATATCTTCATTTGAGATTTCATATAGGTGTTTTTCTTCTAATTTAAGTATTTCTTCTTATTTTTATTTTTTTTATATTTCAAGTTATTCCTTATACTTTTAATATTCTTCTTAAGCCTTCTTTTCCTCCTGTTTGAATAATTCAAGTTATTTTTCTAAATCAGATTTTTCTTTTTGGAATTCTTCATTCTAAATTTTAAGCTTCTCCTTATACTTTTGTTGAATTTCTTTAGATTTTTCCATCTATTACTAAACACTTAAGGTTTTTTCTATGGCTTTCTCTTCCTCCTGTTTGGATAGTTCAAGTTATTTTTCTAAATCAGATTTTTCTTTTTCCTTAATTTCAAGTCTTTCCTTATACTTTTCTTGAGTTTCTTTGGCTTTCTTCA